AGTTTATTTCAAACAAGGAATCTGATTCCTATGGGATCTTTTCTCTGAGCTTAAAGCACTCCTACCTTTACAATTCATTGTAATGAAAACCTAAATCAGTTTCACCTTGCTTTGAAAGGTATCACAATATGATGTTTTACATGTATTAATAAAAAAAAGATATATGACTTTTTAAAACGGCCATATCAACCTCTTAGATCTATCCAGTTTAAGCTGCTATTATAATTCACTGCATCCTTTGAAGGAAAATGCATCTGAATAAAGAAAAAAGTGATCCAGAGAAACATCACAAGGCAGATGGAAGGTGGCCCAAGGTTAGAAACTTGCTGATTTAAGTTGTGATCTTGTGGAGAAATAAGAGTTTGCTCTATTTCAAGTAAAACACAAGACAATGGAGGGCAGAGGAGAGGGTGCTAACAGATAAATGCCTCTCAGTGCAATCTACGGGTCTCATGCAATTCTCACCAAAGGTCTTATAGGCTCAGAGAGGTAAGGAAATTTGCCACAAACCTCATAGCTGCTATGTAGCAGGGCTGGATTCAAACTAGGGTATGACTCTAAGGCCTGTGCTCTTCCCACTACAGTAAGTCTTACAGGAAAAAACCCCTGAGAGCTGGAGCACCGATCAGTAAAGATCAGGTACAGGGCGTGCCTCTGCCATGCTCTGGACAAAAAAATGCCGTATGACCTCTGCTAAGAAGGGAAGAGTTTTCTTACTTCTTTGGAGGTCACATTTTCTAGGTCCTGGCTCATCATGATGCTCCGGAGTTTGGCTTTGATGAGGCGCTCAGTCCTCTCTCCTTCGGTTGGCCTGGAAAGAAATGTAGGAAAGTGCAGAACTATAGGAGGCCTGAGGGCAGAGTTTACAGAAACACCTGATGCTCCTGGACTAAACAGAACGTGGCTTGGGCTCACAGAGCTAACTTCTTGGTGTGCGCATCCTCAGCAGGTGTGGAGAGGGACAGAGAAGTCCTGCTCTGTCGTCCAGAACTCCCACAGGAGTCGACAGAGTGCAGCAGATCAAGAGGGCACAGTGGCTGGGACACACGCTCCTTGTTCAGGTCCTGCCAAGTACCAGGCTCTCAGGGCAGGATGAACTGCCAGTGTAACATCGCCACGCCACTGGGTCCTTCAGTCTCTGCTGAGGACGCTGCTGTGTGCTGATCCAGCCTACAGTCCCAGCTACGTCCAGCCCCCATGATGGCCTTCTTAAACAGAACCAAAATCTGTATTTCCCATTAACTTCTACACGTCAACTGTGGTTCTCACTTTAGGGGCCACATGAACCAGGCTAATCCTTCTTCCACATGATACTGTCCCCTGATATGTTCAAAGGCAGCTATCATTTCTCCCCAACCCTCTCATAATTTCTGTGAGACTTCGTATGGCAGGGCTTTGGTCTTGTCCTCATTCAGGCTGCTCCCCTCTGTCCACAGCCCTTTTAAATGCAGTATCCCAGAGGAACGCAACACTCTGAGGTAGTAGGGTCCTAACCAAAAGAAGGGGAGAGCGCTTCCTTCTTCTAGAACTACACTTTAATTTAGTGCGGCCTTCGGCCATGGGACACAGGCCACACAATTACTGTTGCTGCCTTGAAGGCAGGCTTTCCTTGGTCTGTGCTGGTGCTGTTGTTTTGGGACCCAAGGAGCCCGACTCACGTTAATAATACTCCTAAGGGTGGAGGAAGACGCTTTGGACGTCAAGTTACTGCCTGAGAGCTTGTGAAGTATGTGGGCCCCAAGCTCCTTTGGGAATCTGATGGAAGTTACGATGCGGTTCCCCAGAAATGCACACGAACCTAAATTTGTCTTAATTTTAAAAGGGGGATGGTGGTCACAGACCCTTTCCCCAGCCAAAGATTGCCCATGGACAGCAGGTTAGGAACCCCTGCTTGAAATGCTGGTTCAAGGAGAGGTGGCCCTCAATCAAAGAAAGACAGACAAAGTGTGATGCTGTGTAGACGCAGGGCCGGGCCTGGGGTGGGTGAGGGGGTGGAAGTGGGGGTGGGCAAGGAAGTGTGGAACTTACTTGTCAACAAACAGTGCCGGGGAGTCAGGCCGAGTGGACTCCAGGTCCTGCATGGCATTCCACTCGTTGATGCAGCTCTGCTCAGAGCTGATACAACTCTCATAGTAGGTGGCCCAGATGAGAGCCACGCCCCCAGGGAAGTAGTTGTGCCTTCGAGCCACTTCGCAGGCCTTGTGAAGGACCTGCAGGGCAGACCTGGGGTGAGGAGGGGGAGAGGGTCAGGGCAGGCAGGCACAAGGAGTGCTGGGTTTTCCTCTTGACAAAAGGCTTAAAATAAGGTGGGGAAAGGGCTGTTTATCAAGGACTCGCTACTGGGGACTCCCAGCCTGCCAGGTAACACAGCTCTAGCCTCCATGTCATATGTGTTGACCTAAGAACAGACGGAACATCTTTCACCATTCCCAACAAGGAAACAAAAAGACTTCATAACTCTCCCAATCAGGCTGGTTCACATGTTATTTTACAGTCCACTGATTAACTCACAAGAATTAAGATTTACTTCTGAGGTTGTGGTCACCTTGAACAAAGGAACCACAATGAAGCCTAACAATTGGAAGGTAAGAGTTATTACCATGCAGCAGAGACATTTGACTGCATTCTAAATGACTTCATTTCTAACCCCCTCCCAACAACGTTATAATAACTCAGATGCTTAGATTTCCCAAGGAAATGAATTCTAAAAACTCATTTTAATATAGAAACTAACTGAATAGGTTTGGGAAGGCAGAGTGGGGTAGAAGAAACAACATTAAAAATGTATATCGTAATGGTCAATTCCGTTCCTGTTTTACTTCTTTTTTACAAAAATATAGACTGAAAATACAGAATGAATGAGGTATCAATGAAGGGAGGAAGAGTGAAGCCCTAGATGGAGGGAGAGTTATCAGAGAAGTGCTCAGCAACGGAATAAAAACCACTGCAATCCATGTCACTTTTCCCGATGGTACATATTTGTCCTATCTCTAGGCTGACTGAAGGAACAAACTTGAGCTGAATACTTACTAAATTTAGTTCTAGTTCTGAAGTTTTATAAAAACACGTGGGCCTATTTTTTACTTGCCTATAGAGAAAGGGATTTAAAAAAATCATCCAAGGACACACAGAAATATCTGAGACATCTAGATATGATCCTGAATTGACTGGAGTGTAAAAATGAAGCACAATATTAATTTGTGGTCCATGGGAGAATTCTGCAGAACTCTCTACGTCCCAGAGAAAAGAGTAATTATTTCAAAACACTGGACATAACTCTTCTCATTTGATACCAGCAGCTTTCTCCCAAGTCTTTTCAAGATTACTGAAGAGACACTTCTGAGTTTGATGTGTGAGCGGTTTGTGCAACCCTCCAAGGACAAGGACAAGGACAAGGAAGGCTCTAAGATGGGTGTGCAGGGTTCAGAGAAGCTCCAGACATGACCTAGTTAACTTGATACAGCCTTGACCCACAGTGACCTCATTCCCAAAGCAGAGTATCCAAGGAGGCCCTACCCCTACCCAGGCCCTTGCATGCTACAGTCAGTATCCCATAGCCTGGTGCCCTGTAAGAATGCCTTCCCAGCACCCTTCCGTACAATATGACTTTGTTTTGTGTTTTTGGCCACCTCCCTCTACAGACTTTAAACTCCACAAGGATAAGAATTATGTCTGTTTTATGCCTCCCAGATGCATAGTGCCTACCACAGTACCCTTCCCTTCATAGAGCAAAGTGAATGCCTATTGTGTACCAGGTGCAATGAGTAATTGAATTTATGCTAGAATGACATTTGTCGGGAGGAACTGCACATATGTAAAACAACACGCTTTAAAAACAACAAAAATCAATCAAAATAAAAAGTGACCGAAGGACACACTAGACATTTCTCCAAAGAAGATATACGAATGGCCAAAAAGCACATGAAAAATGATGCTCAACATTAATTAATTAGGGAAACGCAAATCAAAACCATAATGAGATACCACTTCATATCCATTAGGGTGGCTATATGAAAAAAAAAAAAAAAAGACTAGGATGTGGAGAAATTGGAATCTTTGTGCACTGCTGGTGGGAGTGTAAAATGGTATAGTTGCTGTGGAAAACAGTTTGGTGGGTCCTCAAAAAGTTAAACATAGAATTACCATATGATCTAGAAATTCCACTCCTAGGTATATACCCAAAAGAAATGAAAGCAGGGACTTAAACAGATACTTTGTTCAGCAATGTTCACAGCAGCTCTATTCACAATAGCCAAACGGTGGTAACAACTCAAAAGTCTATCAACAAATGAATGGATAAACAAAAAGTGGTATATCTATATAATGAAGTATTACTCAGTCTTAAAAAGGAATGAAATTCTGACATATGCTACAGCATGGATGAACCCTGAAAGCATTATGCTAAAGGAATGATGCCAGATACAGGAGGACAAGTATGATTCCACGTACGTGAAGGATCTAGAATAGGCATAGAGATGGGAAGTAGAATGGTGATTGCCACAGCTGGGGGGTAGGGAATAGGGAGTAAGTGTTTAAATGGGTACAGAGTTTCTGTTTGGGCTGATGGAAAAGTTCTAGAGATGGATGGTGGTGATGGCTGCACAATACTGTTAATGTACTTAATGTCATTGAATTGTACATAAAATGGTAAAATGGTAAATTTTGTTTTGTATATTTTTCCATACACACAAAATAAATGCACCTAAATAGGCTTCTAAGCAGAAGGGGTTTTTCTAGTCATGCTGTCAGCTAGGAAAATATTTCTAAGGAGTTAAAAGTCCCTAAAACCACACTTACCACATGGCCTGGACAGATACGGGCTTGAAGACGTGCATCCTTCCTGCTGTGCTGACGCTGAATCCACTGGGAATGAAAAACAAGGAAGAAAGATACCGTGGAAGGAAATCAGACCCTCTAATCACATCACTGCAAGATGATGGGGGCAGGCCAACTGTGGACACCCTCAGGACAACTGTGTCACATGCTGTCTGATGAGGGACAATAGGCCCACTGCATCAGAGATAGGGGCAGACGCAAAAACCAACCAACAAACAAATAAATAGGCTCTCAAATGTGGAAGGCTTGTTTCTAAGCCAGCAATGCAAGGTCTACCAAAAACTGAACCCAGCAAAGGGTTTGAAGAAATGACAGCATTTGACACCATCTTGTTTACGTTCCTGCATAGATAATATATTAATAGGAAATAAAATTTTAAAAAGAAAAAAGAAAACTATAATCCTACCTCATCAAAAAATCAAATTTTTATTTTTCTCTCCCAGCTCTATCTATGAGGCAACATAACTTTTACTGTTAGAATCCTAGTGTAGGGACAATTTCCTATTCTGCTTCCTTCCACTCATTACAGAACACGCAGATTTCCCCTTAGGAGCAAACATATGCAAAACTCAGATGGCCCTTCATCTCTTATGTACCTGCCCAGGACAAACTAAATGATTCCTCCCCTGCAGCCCCCAAAGTGGCACTCGAAACACAGTTGGTTGTACCTATCAGTTGTATGTCTTTTCCTGCACCCCCAAAGACTGAGAGCTCCTGCTATGTCACATTTATCTGTAAACTTTCAGGGACCAGCCCCAAATGGAGGGCACATAGGGAGTATTCATTCGATAAGTCAAAGTAAATAAATGAATGTCAGTTTACCGCTGTTCTTGAACTTCATTCAGCAGTGGATCTTCTGTAATATGCTTCCATTGATACTTCATGACCCAAACTCCCTTACATAATGCCTGGAATGTGCCCTTCCTTATATGGCTCACTGGGGGGACTATATTATTTCCCCTGATTAATAAACATGTTGCACACATAATTCTATTGCAAATGATTACGCAATGATGCCCCAACCAACTTGTGTTTCAGGGTCTACAGTGATTAAAAGAATCCTTTAAAAAGATCTTACCCGTCACCATCAAGGTGGATCTTCGTGTCGCTCCACAGTCTGAGAACCATCCCAATGGTACAGCTTTTACTACATGTGAGGAAAGAGAAGACATCTAGAGTTAGAATCCACCCTCCTACACACAATCTTTCCTCTCTGTGTCTTCACCCAGCCCATCCAGCTCACCCAGCCCATCCAGCCTGACCTGGGTCTGGCTGCTGGGTGTGTATCTGGGAGAAACTCCGAGGCTGTCTTTAGGGACTGTTCACCACTGAAATCTACAAGCCAGGGGTCTGGGATGGCCCTGCTAGAGAGAGTCACCAGTGACCCTGCTTGGAGACATGACCCCACTATTTGGTACGGTTGCAGCTCCATAAACGCCAGGTCTCAGCTGCAGCTCTCAGGGGACAAGGAATAACCAGCTGACCAAACGCCCTCACTGCAGCAAGGGTGAAGCCGCCAATGGCTGGCACACTCCTGGAACAAGGCCACATGCACTCTGGGGGACACAACAGGCGCATACTGGAAGCCAACCCCAGCCTCCTGTCCTGAGGTGATGGGGAGGGGAGCATGCCAACACCATTACTGAAGTTCATGTCTGGGTATCTGTTTCTGTACCTTTTATGCAGCTGCCATTTTAAAAACTAGCTTAATCTACTTTTATTTTGCCCATCATAACAGTAAAACGATATTTTAGAGACTGGAGTGGCTGAAACACACAGAGGGAAAGAAAGGGCTTTATCAGAGAGGCTCCTCAGATTATTATGAAAATTCTTCAGGCGTTTAAAAAGAGTCGGTGAAGCTGCTGTAACTGTGCCAAGGCCAGCTCAACAACCTCCAGGGATCTCGAGCTAACATCTCTGCTACCACTTAACAGTTCCCCCAGGGAGTAATGTTACGAGCCTGTGACTCTGCAAACAGGGAGCTCTGGACCCACACAACAGCTCTTCCTCCAGAGCTTCTGTGACCAGGCTAAGCTCTTCCATCCTCTCCTTCTGTAGCTGTGGGGCAGGTAGCTTCAAGCCCCTTAGGTAAAATTAAACTAAGCCTTTCATGTGAGGTCAATTCTCAGGTACAAACCTGCAGTCCTACCCATCCTTGATAGGCTAATTACGTTTCTTCTGCAGAGCTACAAAAGACAATTTATGATGAGACTCAGAGCTCCTGGCTGTGTCAGTACTAGGACAAGGCAAGGAGGGGACCCCTCAGAGACCAAAGCCAACATACCCGTACTCTTGAACTTGCCCAAGTGCGCACTTGTCCTTGGCTTAGCCACTACACGCTCCAGAGGCCTTCGGGATGGGCCCTCAACGCCCAGCCCTCTCCTGTGTTCCCATGACACCCCTGTGCATCTATCACTGAGCCCATCACCCCAGCATCTGGTTATGGCTCTCTTCCTCACTAAGCTTATAGGCTCTCTGATGTCAAGAACTGTGTATACTGTGGCTTCTTTGTTTACCTGGGCCTAGCCTATTGCGTCATACACAGGAGAATGCAAATAAAGTGTTTGCTTAATGAATTAGTACATTAATGAATGATGACTAAAGGGAGTCCATTTAATCCGGTTTTAACAAATCCAGCCTTTGCAGTGATCTCACACGCATTAACTTATCTTAGGTAAGGAGAGCCGTTCACCCTCACTTCACACACATAACAGGGTCTATGATGTAACTGACTTGGCCAATAGTTATTAGGAAATTCCAAACCTCTCTTCAAGCCTCTGACCCAGGACCTGTCAATAAGTATTTGGGAATCCATGGGATAGCAATACTGGATAAGGTACTTGATACAATGTCAACCAATCCCATATTTCTTATATGGGCCCGTGTGCCTGGAAGGCGTCCTCCTTGCTTCACTGAACTGGCTTCTACTTTCACTTGGCTGTTCACTACAGCCATTGCCTCCTCTGGGAAGCCCTCCTGGCTAAGGTGCCTTCTGGTAGAGCACCCCCAATAACACCTAATGTTAAAGCTCTAAGCACAGCATAACTTTTCTATCCTGTCAGTAGACCCTGAGCTCTCTGAGAGCAGAGACTGGCTCGAACACGGCGTTCAGTACACAAGAGCTAAAATGGCAACTTCTACTGTCCTCAGCACTGGATCACCCCAGCTGCCTACCAGCCGCCACACACCGCACCGTCATCTCCCACGGACACGGCGCCATGGAAATCTTTTGCCTGCGCAACCCCTGTCCCCTTAGACTCACCTTTCCTTACTGGAGAAGTCGACTCCCAGCAAGATACTCTCCTCTGTGTCCTGGCGACCACTGCTGTCCACCACCACCATGTACCGGACACGCTCCGCCCAGGCACTCTCCAAGCGCACGGCCTGGACAAACAGATGCTTTCACTGGGCTGCCTTCCCAGGCCATACCCCACCTGCTTCACGGAACCAAATTAAAGGACTTCTGTTTTCTACCTTTCCCTCTGTGAGTTTAACAATTAACATGAGATCCTAAGGCACAGGGGCCATGTCTCATTTATATCCCCAACTCGAAGGGCACTGCCTGGCTCAAAGAAGAACTGCCACCCCCGCCCCCTGAATTTTGTTAAATGGGTAAATAAAATCCAGAGAATGAAGATTCTGACCTAGCACAGACAGACATTGAGTCCTGAAACATCCCTTCCCTGGAGCTTTGGGGTACTAAGGGGCAAACCTGGCTTCGGCTTTTGTGAACAATTTGGGAAATTTTGCTAGCAGTAAAAACTCACACCCCCTACCCCTGTATGTACCCATTGCTCATGAATAATTCCCTACCAAATTTCACAATTAAAAATTAAAACTTGCCACTCTCATCTCTTCTTACCAGCTTGATTCTATCTTCACAACGCAGAAGGTTGATCATTACTTGAAGATGTTGGGGCAAGTCACCTATTGGACCAATGAAGAAAGTTTTAAAAGGTCATCCACTTACTTTCTAAGCAGAAACCTATGAGGCTGATTTTAAGGGCCTGAGAGAAGACATAAATGTTAAAATTCCTCTACCTATACCACGGGAGAAACATCAGAACTACTTGAAGTCTTGACTTGTCTTATTCCACTCCTGAAATGTATAATGAGGATGAGTGAGACAGAGGATACTGCCACGTTTTCAAAAGTCACTTTTATTTTCTGAAATATTTGCAAGGTGGGGTTTTAAATACAAACTCTGGCAAATACAGGCAATCCTAGAGAAGAAATATTATTAAATTCAAGGAAATATCACTTTGCAGGGTGGGACAGCAGCAACTACAGACATGGCTTCTGAAACGGGATTTGCTAGGAGTCGGTCTGAAAGAGAAAGCACTGGGGGTGACTTCCTCATTTTCTGTAAGAGATAGATGTTACTTCCACAACCAGGAGGGGAAATGCTTATGCGACTCTATAGATAGCAAGTACATGCTGAGTGCCCAGAGAAATAATTTGGATAACACGGCAATGTTATTTTCTCTTTTCTTTCTAAAAATTACACCCCACCTCCCACCCTGGTTTTTTAAGAGGCAGTAATCTAGAGCCAGGCTTCAAACTTCTCTGAGTGGCCCCACTATCCAGGGGGTGCCTCTGGACTGCAGTGAGGGGAGGCAAGTTTCTCCCAGGTGGTGAGTCATGCAGGTGAGTCATGGCCATGCAGGTTCAACCTAACTGAAGAAGACCTGTGCCCTCCAGGCCCCCATAACTGAGCTTTATAATTAGTAAGTTGCAAGTGTGACTAACACTGCTTTTTCCCTCGTTTATACATTTAAAAAAATGTTTACAGAAACGAACTCATAGAGAACAAATTGATGGCTGCCAGATAGGAGGGGGGTTGGGTGCTGAATGAAAAACGAGAAGGGATCAAGATGTACAAATTGCCAGTTATAAAAACAGTTTTGGGGATGTAAAGTACAGCACAGGGAGTATAGTCAATAATATTGTAATAACTATGTATGGTATCAGGCGGCACTAGACTTATAAGGGGGATGACTTTGTAACTACTATATTGTACACCTGAAACTAATATAATATTGTATGTCAACGGTAATCAAAAAAAAATTTAATTGTTTGCATGAGTTTCTTTCTGAAGAAAAGGTTCATCTGTAAAGATACTGGTCTAGGAAAGTACAAGGAATGACTCATAGAAAATCTGTATAAATTTCAATTTGTGCAACATTCTAATAGAAATAGAATTATCTTTTTTGAAAAAAATTATCCTATAGATCATAATTAGAAACCCAGAAGGATCAATACATTGTATTCATTCCTTTTGCAAAAGTATCTTTTAAATTTTAGGGCAGACTGACGTATGATGTCCAAATAGTACTTCCTGCCTCAGAGAGGAATCAGGTCGTTACAAAGTTGTCCCTCTTGTCTGTTCTATCTATCACAGGATTCCACAGTGTGCATACAACACCTGACATTGGCACCACTTTCTATAAGGAATGACTTGGAGGTCAGGATTCATGTTAAAGAAGGACACAAAGTTCTCCGTCCCCTTCCTCTACCTAACAAAACCCTGTAGTGTCCACTAATGCTATACAACCACCACAACTGGTTCTTGGCTTGCCTGGGCCCCACCGCCATCCACTCTGAGTCACTGAAGCATACAGATAAAGCGAAAAACAGCTGCCTATCTGAGGAGTGCCTAAATGAAAGGGCTATTTTCCACAAAGATCAACTCCTGTCAGTGGGATTGCCTGTGGAGATGTGGAATTGCTGACAGACAGAAATCCTGCCCCTGGCCTTGCGTCCACACACAGTCTCTACATATTCAAGTGTTCACTAAGCACTTGCAAAAAAAAAAAAAAAAGAAAAAAAAAATCAGAGAACATAAGCCTAAAGTAGAGGCCCCAGCAAGAGTCACAGACTGACTGGACTGGCTGAGAGGAACGGAATTACTTTTATACAGACAGAATTAACCCTCAGCTGTACTCAGCTCTGCATGGTGATTACTGACGGGACTGTGGGTTGTCCACGGGACGATAACTCTAGAAAAAAAGGAACTGACATAAAGTCTAGTCTGTGCCTGCCCCAAGGTCATTTACTGAGAGTCCTTGGATGGTCAGCAGTCCCTCTGCCTCTGTGCGCTCACTGGCAGTACAGACTGCAGAGGCAGAAGAGCCGACAAAGCCAGTGGCTTTCTTCCTACTCTCATGTACATTCGAGAGATGCATGAACCAGTCTGGCTTAGGGTTTTTACAAAATGGTTTTGCACTTACTTCTCCAAGCTCTCACACAGTATGAAAATATTGTTTGATTTCGAGGATGGAGACATTTTACACTTAGTGAACAAAGCTTGAGCATTTGCTTTGTTGTACGTGTTATGGGTAAGACATAAACAATGGTTAAATTCCTAACAGAACAAAAATGTTAGCAGATTCAAGAATAAGGTTCTCTTTATAGTTTTGTACTAGACATCACTGTAGTAATAATTATAGCTATCATTCACGGAGTGCCTACAAGGAAGTAAATATGCTACTCTGCCTAAATTTTAAGTTCCATATCATCTGAGATACCAGTATGTGGTGCCCATTGCAAAGATTATGAGGCTCAGAGGTTGACTACGACGGCACAGGAAGTTACAGAACTGGAACCAGAAGCCGGGTTTGTTCTGGCTCCAAAGCACATATTCTTGCCCTAAACCACACTCCTTTCTTGTGCAGGACGATTATTTTCTTAGCTTAAAACAGACTTAAACCTTGATTATAAATATCACTATGTGAAAATATTGATTGAGTCTTGGTGTTTGCTATAAATTGTAAGATATGAAATTCTAACCTAGGCACCTGGCTTCAAAATGAGGCTGGATGACTTGAGGTGGGACAAACGAAATGATCAAGGTGACAAGAAAACTGGCCCCAATTGCTAGGTGCTTTCACCTGTTGTTCTGAGAGTCAGAGGCCTTTCCAGCTCACAGTCAAACATATGCCACCCATCCAAGAAGTGCCTGGCGAGGCTACCCATGTATTACAAAGATGAACCTATGAGCAAATGTTTTCTGATTTCAACTTTCCAAATTTTCAGAATCAAGTCGCCTAGGAAAACCAGTCTTATTAGTTTATAGGCATTTCCTATTTGTTTGCCTTTGGACCTAAATTAACATGAGGTCTGATCCTCACTTTATCACTTCTGTCTACTTCTCAAAACCAAATCCGCCATTAAAATAAAAAAGACTTCTCATCTCAGTGCATGCTAAAGGCTCATGAAGAAAATCTCCAAACGAAGAGTTTTCCAAATGCTTGGAGAAATGACAGTGTCCCCAGGTTTGGTACATAGCACTGCAAGGTGGCTGTTTTCAAGCAGACAACTTCTGGCTATAATGTGTTGTGGTACATTTGTTAAAAAGTCAATCTATAACTCAAAATCTGCTGGTAACGGATAAATTGTGAGTAGGGAATTTTTACATCCAAACAGAACACTGCTGCTGACAGCCTTACTTCTTATGCAGACACATATGATCAAAAGGGTCACTTGCTCCCCGCGCTACCTGGAAAACATGCATGGCCTGCCTGCTCAAGAAAAGAGTTTCGACCTGTACGTCGTTACAAACCTGGTTTTGCTATTTCTCTGGACTTGAAAACAAACATTTAGCTCGCCACCAGTAATGGAAGATTCCTCTAGTTGCACAGGAAATAAGTTCCAATGTAAGAACATCAATTTACCTGCATGCTTATGGGGATGCTGAAGACTTCGCTGGCCTTGAGGGCTGTTTCCCTGTTGTAAGAAGAGGGCTGCTCCTTTCACCATGAAAAAGCTCTCACTTAAGCTAGAAAGAATAAAACCAGAACACGGTTAGGCTGCAATTGTGAGAGGAAAATGGGCAAAGACATGCTGCAGAGGAAAAGCTCGAGTGTGGACAAATGGCATGTAAAATTCAAATGAGATAAAACAGCTTTTAGAACTATTTCACATAGTATTCTTCCCAAACCTTTGATACAAGCTTGCTAAGGAGAGTTAGCGTGATGAAATAATGCTTCTGCTGAAACACCCAAGGTTCTATGTGGGCTCCTCCAGGGCCAAGAGTTCCTCCCTGCAGGATACTGTAAAGGGATCTCACTGTTGTACCATAGCTTCTAAATCTAATCAGAGAGGCCGACACTCTGATTAGAATGGGCGTGATTCATTTTGTGAATTTTTCTTACTCTTGCTGTTGATCTGTTTCTAACTCCCTGACTTTTAACAACCTCATGGCTTCCTGGTGCCTGCCTTTGATGGAATACAAGGAAGAAGAAATTATACTTTCACTATTTATTTGCATCTTAAGAAAAGTGGATAGCTGTTGACTTGTGATTTAACTTAGTCAAGGTTACTGTGCCCACTACTGTTTATAGAAAACCTTAAGTCGACCCAATGAATTTCTCAGCAAAATGAATCTTTGGCCTTTCTTTATTTTAGCTATCAATAACATTTATATTAAACCTGCGACTTTAAAAATTGCAATTAAAATTTTTTTCACTTTCATGATTAGGCCATCAAAAAAAAATCTTTATGCAGAAATTAAGACTATCCATTGAAAAACTATAATTAGCTATTGTTGCTAATTATTCAAAAATACCACCAACTCTGAAAGTTACCCATAAAATATACCAAAATTATTAACAGTGTTTTTTTGGGAGTTGGACTACCTATGATCATCTTTCTACCTCCTAGTATCTTCTGAATCTTCTTGAGCAAATATTAACTTTGTTAAATGATTATTTTTTGAGCAATCTATTGAGCAAATATTAACTTTGTTAAATGATTATTTTTTTTTATTTTCAAAGTAATACAAACCATACACTAGATGTTATAATGAAAAACACATCTTATTTTTACTAATTTTGTGAAAAAGATCTCAATTTAAGTTTTAGGGAACTGTAAAAATCAGTAATTCTCTCTTGAACAACCAATTAACATATAAATGATTCAAAGGGAAACTCTCCAAGAAAAAGCAGTACTTTTTTTGTTTTAACAGAAAGCAAATCAATTCCTGATACAAATACAAGAACATTTTCTACAATATAATAAAGCAAGATCACCTTTGCCCCAGATATCTAATGATAATGGTTAAAGTTCTAATTCTAGAATAAAAAACTCTGCTAAGTCTAATATATAACTCTAGGTACTAAGAAAATGCAGCAAGCAAACTAGCATTTAAGTCAGCAGCTCCTGGAATCAGAATAATGGTTATCTTCTCGAATATCAAGTCCACAATAAAATCTATTATTTTCCTAATTGAATTCCCATGCTAAAAATAGTGATTGCTCAAATATCAAATAAGGCTTAGTTAGTTCTGCCTTTCTTATCCGGGCCTTTGAATTATTGATAACTGGCATTACAGATTTCACAAATACTTTACATCCGTACGACACTTCTTCATGTATTATCGCAAATGAACTGCCAAGTTATCCTTTCCCGTCTATTAGTCACGTGTTTGTGCTGCAAGTTTCAAGTGCTGAGAAGCCCAGGATTATAAATAATGGAAGAAATGAGAGCACCCTTTCTTTGCGGTCTCACTCTCACCCATGGAAGGCAAGAAGCTCTTTAGCACTCATCTGGCCAACTTAAAATCCAGGTTATCTTATTTTAGCAGGCTGCAGAATCACCGGACACTTTTCTACCCTTAAAACTTGTCACCCTCTCCTTTAAAATTTTACAATCAAGTTTGTTTTCAGAACTATTCTGTTTTAGACACAGATCACTTAACCACTTATTTGCGTCAAAATTTGAAAGAGCTGCCCAAGGGACTCCAAAATCCAGGAAATTTAAAACAACAATCACTTTATCAAAGCAGGCGAAGACATCAGCTTCTTTTGTTCATAAATTTAAAAAAAAAAAAAAAAAAGGGAAAAAAATATCCATACTGACCAGAAACCAGAGCACTCTGGAAACAGCCAGCCATTATCGGTGACCTTTGCCTTGAAAATCATGGGCAAAAATTCCCTTGGTTTCCCTTACACTTCCTTTGGAAAAAAAGGAGAACAATGCAAAAGAATAGGCTGGTTTTGTCCCGTGATCACTGACAAGGCCAGTTGTTCCTCAGTGTTCTTGAGACTGATGAAAACTCAGAGCCTTCCATCTACACATGAAGTTGCGGGGAGCGGAGCAATATGCCTGAGGCCCAAGAT